CTGTGCTGGGTGACGGACCAAATCATTAAGAATCTGGGTGTCTCTCAGTCGGAGATTATTTTTTTTGAACACCAGGTTGCCTTCTTGCCAGGAGAACTTCTTCGCCGACGTGTATGCCCTTGGCACAACATTCATGCTGAGGTATTTGAGGGATCGTGGGTGGGATTTGAAGTTCAACATGTGTATTGAGAGTTTGACGTTACTCCAGATTCTCTGCAAACCTGCAGCAGTGTCTGAGGAGCCGAGTGAAAATACACCGGAAGAGATGAAAGCAGCTGTTAATCTTTGTCAGCAGTGCCAGAGGTGGGAAAACGGCAGTCTGCAGAGCAGGGAAAAACACGTCTTCATTATCATCTGTCACCCATCAGCTTAAAAATGAACATTCTCCCGATGTTTTTTTTTCTTCTTCTTCTTCTGCCTGAACCAATTTCGGGGTAATAGCTGAACATTTTCCCAACTGAAAGTAGTTTTCTGGAAGCCTAAAAGCCTCTTCTACAAAGTCAGTTGTCGGAGGATTTTCCTTTGGATTCTAATTGCAACCTTCTCAGCTCTACTTCCAGGGGCCCCTTAATTGGCCCCTTTATCTCATTTACTAACAAATAGGTCCTGTGGAGCCGCAGCCCTGAGCTTTGTTCACCTCCACACGGCCCAACAGTGGAGCTAGTTAAGGCATATTAGCATGATGTGTTCATGAAAACAAGGAAAAACAATGAAAGCATTGGCAAACAGAATGACGGCCCCTAACTTTTACCCTAAATGCCCTTTCTTTTGTTGTTTTGAGCCCTCCTAAAGCTTCTAACTTGCCAGGATTTCTTTGTGGTCCACACTGAGGGTAAGGAGGGGGGATTGTTGTGACTGAGATGATGGGTGTAGGGTGTCTGGAGCCGCAAAGCTTTATGGATAGGGCTTTGAACACAAAAACACCGGAAAAGGGGGTTTAGCCACAAAAAGGGGGGTTTGTCACACACTGTGTGCCAGAAACCCCCCCCCATCATTAAAGGGTGAACCTTGGCATATACACAGAGCACCTCAATTTTCAAAAGCCACTGAAGGATCTGTTGGCATCAGCCGATTCCTCTAGATGTGACGTCCAAAGTCTTGGAAGAACAAACTTCTATTGATGGACAGAGAAACATGAGCAGAGAAGCTGCTTTTCTTCTCTGCGTTGATACAAGGAGCTGCTCACATCTACTGATCCTCACTCTGATCTCGCTGCAGCAAAGCAGGTTTTCTTGAATATTGATAAGCCTTTTTTTTTTTTTTTTTCTTTTCCTGTTTCCTGCACCAACTGTTCCATTTATCCTTGGCCGACTGGGGATTCCCGTCTTTGGGAACTGGCTGTGCTGTGACAGAGCTGCGATGATCATTTTTTTCCCTGTTTCTTTCTCAGGCAGAAAATGATTTACCTCCTCATGGACAGTGGTGATCTGGCGCAGAGCCAGGCCCTCTGATCGAAGAGACAACGTGACTGTACTCCCTGCTGCTCCCTCCCTCCCTCCCTGTCTCTCCTTCCTTCTTTGTTTTGACTGCATCTTCTTCTCCGTGATATAAACGTCGGGAGATTTTCTTTCTTTTTCCATTTTAATCAATTTTTCCCCGTTACTTCTGCACTGCTATCTCCCGTCTCCCACAGTTTTTTATTTCTAACCTCATATCATACTCACTAAAGACGCACTCACACTAGGACCAGTTGCTTCGTGACGTGCTAAAGTGCCCACTGCCCTCCTCCCCTCTCCCCCTTTGACCCGCACTCACATTACCGCAAAGGCCAGCGAGCTAAGGCCCAGAGGCCTCCGACTCTTACGTCACTGACTATTATTTAGACGAGGTGAAAGTAACGCGGTCGAGAGCGACTCTCACAACAACGGCTGCGAATGGTCTTCAAAATAGTCCGCCCTCTGATCAACAGGATGTCATCTTTACTGTGAACGACATATCTGCAGCATCTGACTGTGATATGGACACACACACACACACACACGCGGCTGCAACGGTTGCTTTGTGAACTATTGCCAACGTCTTGTATTTATCGACTGCGTGCGGACGCGGTTCACAGATTTTTGTGCAGGCAGCAGGAGATGTACTTAACTGCGAATGTGCGCAAGTTTTGCGCCGTGTTCTGCGCTTTGGCCCACCACTTTCAAATGCAACATAACAGACTCCCAAACCCCCCTGGCCCTCCTCCCCCCACACACACTGTATAACAGGACTTGACTGTCCTTTGGTCCTACAACACTGTACTATTTAGTCGATGTCTGCTTACATCGAGAAAAGTCACATGACATTCATGTAACATATCCGTGCAGGTAATGTTGTGACCTAAGGGAGCGATTTGGAATTTTCAGTTTTAAGCAGCATTTTTAACCTTCTCTGATTGTAGGACTCTAAAACTCTGGAGTACTGCGTATGTCAGAGTACATGGAGCAGCTGTATTAGCGGAGGGGATCTAACCGCAGACATGAATATTTCATGCAGTAATAATATGCAATATTGAAGATTTTCCTTGAATCCTTCCCTTGAATCATTTTTATGATTGAGGCTGAATTCACAGATGTTACATATATGCATGGCTTTACCTAATTTACAGAGAGTGTGAGTCTGAGCAGCCTTGGGCTGTCAGCAGTCAGAGCGCAAATGATGCCCCCATTTGGTATTCTGTGTCCAAGGCCAGGCACCACAGGAACAAAAGGCTTGTCGAACACCTTTGCTGGAACAAAGAGCTCTTCTAAAAGGCCTTGGTTGAACGTGTGGAATGTGCGGAGTGAGATATTGCTCAGCTAGCTGGACATCGCGTCCACTGCTGTGTGTTTGGCTGGGATCTGTTTGTCTTCATCTGAGGATTTATAGAAAAAGAAAAAAACCCCAAAAACCCGATCCCTCAGGGGTTTGACCACTTTCTCTAAACACCCGCACTAAGTGAAGAAAGTAAACTATCAATTCAACAGCCGAGCAGGAAGAAGACGCCAAACAGCCACCAACCTCGGAGCTGTGCATCGACGAGACCCAGCTGATAGTCCGCTAGGCCTCTCACTTCTCACTTCCTCGTGTTGTAAAAAAGAGAGAGAAAAAAAGTAGCTGTTAAAAAGTGTGGATTTAGTTGATGTGATAACCAGACAGCACCACAGGGATCGTCTGTTTCTCTCTCTCTCTCTCTCTCTCCAGATTGGCCAGTTTTGTTTTCTCTCTCTCTCTCTCTCTCTTTCCAGATTGGCCAGTTTTGCAAAGTAAAAGACGTGCATTCTGCTACGATAAACATTTGTTAACTCGTCTTCCCATAGTCAGGATGTTTGGGCCTCGGGCATTAGGTGTTTTGAGTGATTTAGAATAAAGGAGAGGAAGTGAGAAAAACGAAATGAATGTTTATACCAGTGGTCCCCTGATTGCAGACAGACTTTGGAAAGGAGACAGACTCATTACCAGACTAATCCTCAGCGCCACACAGGAGGCTTGGATCAGCTTTGTCATGCGTTTGACAGCTCGCTCCTCCATTACGGTCCCTGCGTGCCTGATACTGTGTCACTGACAGGTAACCTGGGTCTGGTTATTTCTCTGGTCGTTCTAAAAAGCCCCCACCCTGTGACCCCTCCATCTCTAAGAGTCGGAAGAATGCACATATTTATACATGGGAGGCCATACATCTGGGGAACGCTGACACCCACGGCAAACACTCTTCTCCGACCCACTGAGATATAGCCACAGTGGTTGACTCTGAGCAGGAGGGTTTTATGGTGAGCAGGCATTTGTCTCATACTTAATGATCAGCATCCTGACCTCGCTAGTAAATCTTTTCTGGGTGGGCCTTCCTGCTGCCAGGGCCTGCTGGCAGAGTATGACATCATCCCCTCGGCTGAATGTGTGCGTTCACGTGCTCACTCACGTCGTGGTCACTTAATCATCACTGGAGCCTAGCAGTGCCTGGGTCAGGACTGGAGTGACCAGGCCGCACAGCCTTCCAGACGGGACCAAAATGAAGATTTGCTTTGACCAAACTGAGATGTGGCAAATGGAGAAGGATGCAGCGACGTGGACGCCCTGATGTTCTTCCTTTAGGTCACGGTTACACTCAGCTGTAAGATTGATGTTACTCCTCCCTCACCTCGGGGGCACGGGGCTGTTTGGTGGTGTCGAGGGCAGCCCATCAATAAGACGCCGCGGACTGATGTGCAGCTCTGGGGAGGTTTCCTATTGATTATCCTTTGACTCTAAAACACAGCACCGTACGTGATACACACAGACATATTCAAGTCCATGTTGATCATGTGTCACTTTGGCGTTTTTAAGTTCGGCAGCGGACGTTGTAAGCTTACAACGTGGGATGTGAAATCAGCAGAAATTCCTTCACTTCTGAGTCTGTGATGGATTGTGAAGGTCTCCAGCAGCGCAGGTCTGACTCATTGGGCTGAAGTCATTATCACTGCATGATGTGGAGGCTGGCCGCGGCCCAGTGTTCCCATCTCCATTCATGGAGAGCTATGCCGCCCCGCTAATCAGCCACAGTGTGAGGTAGGTTCACTGCAGGGGAGGAGGGGGGCGAGGGGTGGGGG